CTCTCTCTCTCTCTCTCTCTCTCTCTCTCTCTCTCTCTCTCTCGCTCTATATATATATATACAGCATTGGGGTGTACAGCGAGGTGTGTATATACTTTCTAAATATGCGACTGTCTTCTGATCTTCGACTGTATCGGCAGTTTGGGGAATTGTTGTGAAAAGCAAATTTAGAGCGTCTTCCCACGAAAGAGAAGGGTCTGCTGCTAACAGCTTCTTGCTGCACATACACCCCACACAGACATCATCTAGAATTCATAATAATCATAATAATAATAATAGTAATAATAGTAATAGTAATAATATTAATAGTAATAATAATAATAATACACAAAGCAAAGAGACAGCAGCTTCTAGGATATAGATAATGCAGCAAATATTAAAGAGTTAAAACAAAGAGGAATCAGCAATAAAACAGAACAAATACATATTTACACACAGAAGAAATGATAATTATATTAGTAATAATAATAATAATAAAAATAACAATAATAATAATAATAATAAATAATGAAGAAAGACCCAGAGAGACTGCAGGAGATGCACACAGATGACACACTGCATCAAACAGCAAACAACGAAGTAAACAAACAAAAAATAAAAATAATAAAAATAAAAATAAAGAAGCAGCAATAAAAACCAACGCCATAACAAAGCAAACGACGCATGCAGCCCCAACACAGCACAATCCCAACTCTCCTCCCTCAATACATACATGCATACTCCCTCCCCCTATCTCACTGCATGCACGCATGCATGCATGCATACTGCCTGCCTGCATGCATGAATGCATACTGCCTGCCTGCCTGCATGCATGCACACTGCCTACATGCATGTACGCTGCATGCATGCATGCATGCATGCACACTGCCTACATGCATGCACGCTGCATGCATGCATGCACGCATGCACACTGCATGCATGCACACTGCATGCATGCACACTGCATGCATGCATATAAATGATGCAGTAGTAGGAGACGTACACTACAGAGTTTGCTGCGAGTCTTCTGCGAATTCTCCAGTAGAAGAATTCTCTGGCTGTCGGCCACGACAATATTTTGCGGATTCCTCCTCTTGCTGCCATGCGTGGGGCTCGATCGTGAAGATCAGCATACACGTGAGCAACCTGCATATACACCCCAACTTCAACCATCATAATAGTGCAGCAGCAACAGTACCAGCAGCAGCAGCAGCAGCAGCACCAGCAACAGTACTAGCAGCAGCAGCAGCAGCAGCAGCAACAGTACCAGCAGCAGCAGCAACAGCAGCAGCAACAGTGAGTCGATTCGCATCTTCGCACCTGCGTGTACACTGGCATCAGCTGGTTTTCTCTCTTCTTTATTTTTTCTTTTATTAATTCTTGTTCTTCAGGTGTCTGCATTTGTACAACAAATAAACACAAAACCAAACAAACAATCAAATACCCCTCCATCCTATCAGCGTCTCGTAGCAGCAGCAGCAGCAGCAGCATCATCATCATCAGCTGCAGCGAAAGCAGCGGTTGAATTAGAATGCAGCAGCAGCAGCAGCCCCAACACTCGCAACAACAGCAGCAGCACCACCACCACCACAACCAACAATAACAGCAGCAGCAGCAGCAGCAGCAAGAGCAGCAGTATGCTTACAGGAGCAGCTGCAAGATCTTTATACCACTGCTGTATAAGATGATCATTTTTGAGCATAAGTTTTTTTCTCTCATTTTCTTTGAATTTAATCTCGCATATCCCTGGAGGCTCTAATACACCGCCTCTAGATTGTTCATCTGCATATATCTCCATCTGAGCTAAGTTTATTGTAGGGTCAACAACAACCCAAGAGCCCCCTCTTAATTCACCATACGGAGGAATATAAACAAATACAGGGTGCCTATACACCCGAAGTGCATCAACAATCATAGAACCAAATTTTAATATCTCATCAAACATATCGCGCGTACCCCCCGAAAACCCTCGCCAGTTCGCGAATATTATCAACGGTAAATTCTCTCCTCTATTAAAATCGGCAATTGCTTGTGCTGTTTTATATGCACTCGATGGGAACCACACCTGCCCAGCCTGCAGCAGCAACAGCAGCAACAGCAGCAAGCAAATGCAGCATCTAACAATCGCTGACGCTGCAGCAGCAGCACACAATTGCTGCTCCTGCTGCTGCGAACATTGAAGCAACAGCAAAATATTGCAGCAGCAGCAGCAAAACATCAATGCTGCAGCAGCAAATGGCAGCAGCGGCAGCACCATCACCAACAATATACACAAAATTTAGAGCAGCAACAGCAGCACTTGATGCAGCAACAGATATACTCTGCTGCTGCAGCTGCTGCGGAGTAGTCGCTGTAGCTCTGCAGCTGTTAGGATATATAATGTGGCTGACCTACTATATATTTATAAATAATATATATACAAATTCAATAAATATATGCATATGTATAATATATATAATATTATATATACATATATATACATATATATATACATACCTATATATAATAATGCACACACATAAACATATATATATATATATATATATATATATATATATAT